CGGGCCGTACCAGGCTGCGCTGGGGGCGCTGCAGGGGCGGCAGGACCACAAAGGCGCCATTCACAGGCTCGGGCCGCAAGGCCGGTCGTTTACGGTGGACGGAGCGTGGCTGTTCGCGCGTCTGTAACACGATGGCCCCTTATGCAAACCTGGGCTGCACTTGTCACCTTTTGAGAAAAGGGAAACTGAGGCTCAGAGAGGACAAGGCCTCACTCCCCACCACGCAGCTCTATGTGATGCTGGCAGGAAGCTCCCAGGGCGATGTCACACCCGTGTCCTTTCACAGGCCGAGGCTGCGATTTGCCCACGGCCACCTGGCAGGCCCCAAACACTGGAGTCTGGGTGACCCACCAAGAAAACGGGCAAAACCCCCGCAGGTGCGGGGTGAGGGTTCCAGTATCTCGCTGGGATGCTGGGAGGCAGAGCGAGCCTGAGTCTGCGGAGCTGGAGTCAAAGGGGGGCCCAGAAGGAGCAGGAGGTGTGGGGCCACCCCAGCCGGGAGACTCAGGAAAGTACCTTCAGGGAGGGAGGGGCGCAGCCACAGCGGCTGCCTCGAGCACACAGTCGACAGCTGAAGGCCTGGGTTCAAGTCCTGCTTCGATCACCTCCCGGGGCGGAATTACTTGTGTTCCCTTTTCTTTTCTCCAAAATGGATCGATTTGTTTGTTACGGTGAAATTCACATAATATCAAAGTAACTCTTTTAAGTATACAGTTCTGTAGCATTTAGTACATTCATAATGTCACATCTCCCCAGTTCTAAGCATTTTTATCCCCCAAAGGGTGCCAGCCCCAGGGTGCCCCAATCTGCTTTCTCCTGGTTCCTGTTTCTTCACCTCTCAGTCTCCTTATCTGTGAAATGGGGATAACAAGTCTGTTAGAAGTTTAAGCAGATAAAGCACAATGCCTGGAATTCTTATGATTGTCAGTGATTTCGTGCCTGCCTCCCCCACCAGACAGACTCTATGCTCTGAGGGCAGGGTCCAGCGGGAGGGACCCCAGAGTCTGGTGGGAGCAGGGGGCCCAGGTGTCAGGACCCAGTCCTCTGGAGCTGGGAGAGTGGGGCTTTGGGAGATTCCTGCAAGGAGGAGCCCAAGGTGTCGGACCCCCCGACAGCGCTGCTCAGCCTCGGCCCAAGTGACAGGGCCTACCTCAGGGGCAGGTAGAGGCGAGGGCCCAGCTGGGGCAGGCAGTCCTTGTCCCAGGGTTAAGTAGGAAACACAGTAGGAATTCAATGACCATCCACCTGCTCGAAAATGGGGTGGAAGTAGCTGTGGTGACAGGGGGACACACTGGGACAAGTCACCAAGGCATGGAAGCAAGATGCAGGGAGAAAAAACCAAAGCCAAAACCAAATAAAACAAAAGTCCTCAGAAACAGAGCTATGCATTTCTAGATCTAAGTACCTATCAACATTGCCCATGTAGCTGTCAATCAATCAATCAATCAATCAATCAATCCATCCATCCAAAAACACTCCCTGCTCTGCACCATCTGGGCTCCCTCCTCTGGCCTTCCCTGACTCTCAGTTACACTGGGCACCTCTGTGTCCGGCAGGTCACATGTCTTGTTTGTAAGCCCCGCCTTGGGTCCCTCTGGGTAAGGATGGGAACAGGGACGCTATTGTCCCAGGCACCACCTGAACTGCCCTGGAACAAGGGCATGGCTGAGGCCAGGCCCGAGCCACTCCTGGGCTGGCCACTGGGCTCCCTACTGCCTGAGCTGAGGAGGGAAATGAGGCCACTGGGAAGGGCTGCTCAGCCAGCCGGAACCCAGTTTCCTGAGTCTTGGAGACCAAGACCCCTTCTCCATGGCCGAGCAGCCTCGGAGAGTTCCCTGCGCCCAGCACTGATGAGCAGGGGCTGCCTGAAAGTAAATCTCAAGGGGCACCGCAGCACAAAAGTCACGGACTGGACGCCAGAGTCAGGAGGCCTTAATGCATAATTGCCGTGGACAAAGAAGAGTGAGCTCCGCATCACCAAAGGCATTCAAGCCAAGACTGGACAGCCTTAATTTTTTACATTGTGCATGAGCCATGGCTGGGCAAAGAGAAGCACAAAAACTGTTGGTTTGTGGTTGAGGGCTTCACTGTTGGGAGGGGGTTCTGGTCAAAGCAGCCACCCAAATGTCTATCCACATGGTACCAGTCAGACTTGGGCGTATTCAGTCAATGGAATATTACGCAGCTGTAAAAAAGGGCAAGGAAGCCACTTATATGCTGAAGCAGAAACTGTGCTGAAATACATCAGGTAATAAAAGCAGGGTTGAAAATACTGTTTAAAAATGCAAATGATAATAATAATAATAATAATAAACAGACCCACGTTTGCTTGTCTTTGTTTAAAGAAAGGAAAACACAAGAAGCAAATCTAACAGCAGGCACCAAGGTGGTGGAGTGGGAGTGGGCTGGGGACCAAGGCCTTTTGAACTATGTGAACGTATTGTCTATTTGGGGAAAAAATGGCTCTCAGCATATTCCAGCCATGCCGCCAATACTCAGCCTGGCACCCACCGCCATTCCTAAATGCCTGCTGTTATTCACCCCCTCGCCTCTGAGTCTAGTAGTTGGCCAGACATTTGGGGTCTCCCTAACTAGGCAAAGGCCTTTTTTTTTTTCTTTTTTAAAAATATGTTTTTTATTGATTTCAGAGAGGAAGCGAGAGATAGAAACATCAAAGATGAGAGAATTATCAATCAGCTGCCTCCTGCATGCCCCCTATGGGGGATAGAGCCTGAAACCCCCTGCATGTGCCCTGACCAAGAATCTAACTGTGACCTCCTGGTTCATGGATCGACACTCAACCACTTAGCCACACTGGCCAGGTGACACAGGTCTTCCTGGATCCTGACAGTGGTCAGAAACAGTGTCTGAGAGTGCCCCCTGGGACTCTCTGGCTACCCTGAGTGAGTGGTTTATAACTCTTCCACAAAGGGGAAAACTGAGGCTCAGAGAGGTTAAGTAACTGGCCTAAGTTACACAGTCAGTGAGAGCCTGTTTCAAGCCTATTAGATGACCTTAAAATGAGAAATGCGGCTTCCCAGCTCTCCAGGGGTGTGCTTTGTGGGAGGGGATGCTGTGGGTGTGCCAGCCTGGGGCTCTGAGGCCCTGCCAATAAATCCACAAAGGTGAGAAGGTCGTGCCACATTTGTTCCCCTGGAAGATAAAACTCCAGGGGGTTGCCTGGGGGAGGCACAGGCTCAGAAGACCAGCTGGGGAGTCAGTGCAGTGCCCTCTGCTTTCTCGTCTGGAGACCTGTGGGCAGCCTGTGGTCACGCTGGCATTCCAGGGGCCTGCCTGGCATGTGGGGAATGTCCCAGCAAAAGTCTTGGCCTTCGGGGAGGCTCAGAAAAGGGAAGTGCTCCTAGACAGGGGTGAGGTGGGTGTCTGTAGGGAAAGTCCCCCTCGATGGCGGATGGAGAGTTGGGGTCCAGAAGGATGGGGGTGTCACCCTTCCCTGTGCTGGCTCATCGAGCGGCCTTTGACGTTGGAGTCCGGGGTATAAAGTGGAAGGCACACTGGCCCGAGGCGGGACCTGGGCTCAGACCTGCAGGGCCGCCCAGAGTTGTAGCCCCTCTCTGACCCTCCCAGTAGCAGGAGGCGCTGCTCACTCCTCTGCCCCCTAGACCACAACCCTGCGGCCTCGGCGTCCCCACAGTGGGAACACTGGTTACTTGTTGAGGCCACTGCCACGGAGACCAGCCCGGCTGGGTGCCTGGGCCACTGGGAGGGGTCTGGTTGTCATTCAAGGCAGTGCCCTTGGGAGCGAAGGCTCAGGGAACCACAGTCCCCCTCGGGAGGGCCTGACTGCAAGGCCCGGGTTGGGTGAGTTGGGGTCTGCAGACCCCTCCCCAGCTCCTGGGCTGCGCGCCCTCCACCCCATGAACCCACAGCCCCTTGCAGGGGCTTCTCTGGGCTCCCTGAAGGCTCTGCTTCCAGGCCGCCTCCTCCAAGCAGCCTCAGGACCGCCTCCGCCCACCCAGTTACAACCTCAAACCACCTCTGTCCCATCCTCAAACCTGCCTGGTGCATCCTCCCCGCTCGGCTTGGGGCGGGGGGCCTCCGAGGGGTCCAGGGCTCCGGGGGAGTCCTCCGTCGGCGGGGCCCTGGCGGTGGGGGCAGGGCCGGCGGCCTAGGCGGGGGGCTGCAGGGGCTC